CCCGGTTTTGCATTTAGACGCCTGTGACGTGAGCTGTCAATTGCGGAAGATGTTGGAGTTCCAACCCTAGTGTATTTAAAAGATACTTTTCTGTACAATTTATTTTTTTCTTGAATCTTTCCGATATTTTAATAGTTATTCTGCTATTCGACGCGGTGAAGAATCCAACAAATCAGAGACCATTAAAATCGGTCCAGCTGTTCTTGAGTTAACCCGACTTTGTGTTTTATTTAGATTTTTCTATTAAATTTACTACATCAACTTAATGCAAATAAAGGAGGATTCTACTCACATGATAATGATTTGTATATATGCGCACATTTATTATATACAGAAGTATTTATACTTTGGATTTAAGTCGATCGCACTGTCTTGCGATAAGTATTCTGAAGGTTAACTATCGAATGACGTACCTCTAATGCGAAGATTAGTTTATTTTGAAAAAATCACGATTGGTATGAATGTCCTGACAAGTTGCTAGAGATTACTTCGTAATTGTAATGCTCCGTAGATACCCTGCAATCTTTTTTTATATCATTTTATTATGATATGTCTATCTTTAAACGAATTGTTATTATGGTTATAGAGTAGGTATTTGGTTTTAAACTCGATTTTTGATCCCTAGTTATCTGATGTACTATAGGGTTAATAAGTTTGGTGTTTGTAAAATTTGTATTGTTTTGTAAGCTTTATTTTTTACAAGAATTACAGGGTGTTTCACGCAACTGGTCAATTAACAGTTTTTAGGATCTAATTTAGAATGTTTAAATTTTTGAATATTTCAAATTCAAGTTAATTCCAAGTGTTCTTTCTATTTTGTTTCATTTTCTGAAACTTCCGGTAAACCGGAAGTAGATGCCAGTTTGGTTATTTTAGATAGAAACCCTTTCAATTTCGCTTTTCCAACGATTTTTGGTTATACAGGGTGAACCGAAATCACAATTTTATCTGCACATTTTTGAAAAACGGTTCGCACTAAAAAGTATAAATTTGGAGGATGAATGTAACTAGTAATTATACAGGGTGGCGCGCCTATTCGCCTCGGTTGATTATACGAAAACGGAAAGATGTATAGAAACAAAAATTTTTATGTGTATATGTGGTGCGGCAATGTGCATAATTTAAAATTATTTTGAAATATACGGGGTGTTACAGAACTATGATCCATACCAAAGTTATATTTTTCTTATGGAACCCCCCGGTATTTTATTTCATTCTTGGATTCTTGGACCTAAAAAAGGCATTAATTATATGGGTTAAATATGTTTATAATATAATATGTTGAAGAGTATTGCTTTTGAATTAACGAAGTTTTTATGTAAAATAAATATTTAAAATAGACCAGTAATTTCTGATACCCCTGAATACATTAAACGAAGCAACCAACATTTTCAGTAAAGTTTATTTCTCTGGCTTAAAAGTCAGCACAAGAATTAATTCTGAAATGTAATGTACAGGGATTTGACAATCTTTTTTATTATAGCATGCATATTTAAATATCTTTAAATATCTGAAAAACCAAAGCTTGTAAACATATTTAACCCTTATAATAAATGCCTAATTTTGTATCCAAGGATACAAAAACGAAATAAAATACCTGGTGTTACATAAGAAAAAATATAACTTTGCTGTGCATATCTTACTTCTGACCTATCCTGTACATTTCAAAATAATTTTAAATTATGCATATTCTTCAGAATTTAAAATTATGTTACCTTAGTCTTCCGAGAACTAGTGTTCATCCACAAAGGGTATTTACAGTGGTTAGTAAGTTGAAGTTAGGTATGTACCAAAAAAGACATAATTATCTCTAATCTCTACCTTCTTTAAAATGTATGGTAATTACAAAATGCAGTATGACGGGGTCCAGCAAATTTTTTTGTTAAATATGCAAGAGATAACCTAGATTTAAAAAAGATTCATTCCTCCGAAAAAAAAATACTTTTAGTTTTGTTTTTGATTTTTTAACTAAAAAAGTTTGTTATGTTTTTTAAGTTTAGCCCAACTAAATGTTTTCTAAAATTCATTGAGACTTTTTATGCATAGTACTCGTACATCAGTACTATTCTTAAGAAATGTATCCGCTATTTTTTTGCCACCACGCCTGCGTCCTTCATTTGTTGATCAAAATCTGGTCACTTGAATTGTATACAGAGTATTCAAATAGCTACTTCACTTATAACATTTTACTATGTTTTTACCCTGCGTCAAATTTTGAAGGAAAAAAATCTAGTGTATAACAGTCACTTTTGTAACTTTTTTAGATATTTTTTCAACACAGTGCGAAAAAAAATAATGGGTGATTAGGGGTCTCATTAGAACTGCACACTAAATTTGTAAAAAATACTGTAGGCTCATGTCAACATTTACTATGTCTAGTGATGTTAATATTTCAGAAATTTTTGATTGTTGCAGGAAATTTCCGAAACTTTCGGAAACGTTCGGAAATTTATGAAATTTTAGGAATTTTTACAATTTTACATATTTTTTGTTTGATACAATAAAGGAATAAATTAAATAGACATTTGATACCAACATGTAAGTGGAAAAAAAAACAATAAACATAATATTAGTTGTTATATTTTTAATAAACAATACATAACTCATAAAAGTCATAAACATAACACATAACAAAAATCATTGGGTAACATTTGTACTTTGTACATGAACCATGAACTATGACTATGAACTTAAAAAAAAAACAAAAAAGCGCGAAATATAAATTGAAAAAACGTAAAACACAAATAACTGAATTTTTCTATTCCGGAATACTTTCAGGCGCCGAGCTGGTCCCATCTTCATAGGGTATTATAGTAGTAGTAGTACTGTCTTCGTCAGTTTCTATTTCCAAATCAGATATATTTGATGTATCATCTGCTTCTGATTCTGAAGGATGCACTTCTACCTCTACGGGTTCTAGTGGTTCTGGAGGAGTTTGATGTTGTTGAATATCATGCTCCATATCCACTTTTTGTTTTTGTAGTAATAATTTATTGTTATGAGCTACGAACATTATTTTGCCGGCTCTTTGTGCAGTTAAAGGCGGGTTCTCACCTGTCAGTTTCGCTGAGGCAGTCTGACTGATTCAGTGATACTGAACAAATAATGAACGTCAGAACACATTTTCATGTTAAATGATCAGTAAATTCGTACTTTCAGTTAAAGTGAAAACCAGTTCTACTTTTTTCATTTTTGACTGATCATTATCGAATAATGAATAGAAACTGAAGCGTGAGAACTACATTTTCGTGATTTGTTCAGTTTACAAGTTAAAGTTAATTAATTATTTTAATGTATATCTCCAAAAAAATCCTTTATGGGTATTTCGCCACTGCACTGCAAGAAAATCTACAAAATAAAATAGTTATTTTTTGTAAACACTTCTGGCGTTAAACCTAAACGGACACTGCTTATAAGAAGTTATGTTTACAGTTATACAAATTGGCTTAACAAAGAAAAAAATGCTTAACGTTTCGGAAAATCTATCGTCGGAAGCAAAAAAATTCAAAGAATAAAGAAAAAAGAACTATTTAAAATATTTAAATTCAAACTATTATGAGAACACGCGTTTTTTAAAGCAGATACGTCTACAAGAAACCGTTGACGTTCTGTTAAAATAGAACGTCAACGGTTTCTTGTAGACGTATCTGCTTTAAAAAAACGTTTTCTTCTTTTCTGATTCACCACTGTAATTCATTTGCTAATTGGAAACAAACTTCGCGAACACCTGGTTTCAATTTTGTTTTAACCATTTTCATGTCTGCGAAATCACCACGTTAAAATGTTTGGACCAACTGAATACTGAATGTAGCAAAACATGAAACGTGTGAACAAATCGTTGATTTTTATTTTTCATTGATAATGAATCAGTCAGACTGCGTCAGCGAAACTGACAAGTGAGAACCCGCCTTAAGCGATTCCTTTTTTTAGTATGGATAAAACTGTAAGTACTGAAACTTCTCTCAGTGGCTGCAGATGACGTTGGTAAAGACAGCAGAGCAACAGCTAAATATTTCAACTGAGTATTTTTACACATTGTTTGCCACCAACTTAGACAGTCTACATTTTTAACTGACATCTAAACATAGTCGAGAGCCCATAAACCCGATTTGGCGCAATAATTTGTTACATCTGTAAAAATGGCTTTCTTATTATTGGCAAACTGAGGACTGAGGATGTTTGTTGGTGATATTGTTGATAGCGGCTATTGATATTCCATAGCGGCTACGTGTTCTTCATTGTTAAGGTGCTCTCCCAGGAAACAGAGGGGTCCAAGAGATTCGCGGCAAAATGCATTGGTTTAAGAGCCATACGTTTTCTATTTTGTAAGGCGGAGAAGCATTCTTTTTCTTCTGATTTAAGAATAGGCATACTTGATACACTATCGTTAAATTTTTGCTCAATGTCTTGAATTTTGAAAAGACATTTCTTGCAAAATTCGGATTTTTGCGAATATTCGCGATTTTGGGACCGAATATTTCGGAAATTTCTGAAATTTCCTGCAAAATTCGAATGGAAATATTCGCTACCAACATCACTAACTATGTCCACTACATTTGACTGTCAAATAACATGGTACCTAACACAAGATATAGTCTTGACCTGGTTAACGTGCTCCCGAATATTTTCGCATTATTATTTTTCACCCTGTATATGATATTTTACGTTTAAAAAATAAAGAATAACAGCTCTACAAACAAAATTGTTTCTTGATACCTTTTACAATATTCATATATTTTAAACCTTCACATACATAAATAAATGATTATGAAATAATTATTTAAATCATTTTACCCTATTTATTTATTGTCTAACCGCACAATAAAATAAATAGTTTAAAATTTCAACTCTACGATTTATTAACAAAAGAAAAGTACTAAGTTAATTTTTAATGTTTTTTAATTAAATTTTAAATTTTCATTCATTTTAATTAATTCATTGTGTGTGAGAATAATAATTTTATTATTTAAGTAACACAATGGCCATATAAGGATACTTACAATAAATATTTCTTGTCCTGGATTATTATTTGTCTTAAAATTTCACTCACTCAATGACACTTCATTCAAAATTTTCGAAAACACTGAGGAAAACCGACAGAAAAATTCAATGACAACAACTGAACCTACTGACGGACTGATGATTATGTTTTTCTCGGCCAACTCGATTTACAAAACTAATTAATGTTTCCGTACACGTTTCAGTCGCTGCGTTGCCAAGTCGTGCCGAATTGTGTCGATTTTGGTACGCGACGCGCTCCTCTTACTTTAGCATATTGTTCGACTTAATACGAAAACGCTGTTGTCAAATTTTGTCGATAATGTTTCTAATAGACTTTTTAGTTAGGTAGGATGTTTTTTTTATGTTTTTTTACCGTAATAGAGGTATGACGTAAATGAGTATAATTAAAGGTGGTTTAGAAATGACAGTTAAATACGAGTATTAATTTGGTAAATTGCATTAGCAAAATTTGTAATTAGTTAAAGTGACAATCACAATGTTAATTTTTTCAGTGTTATTTTTTTTTCTGTGATATACTGTCTCTCGTTATCGTAAATCGAAACCGCGTATATCGATGCAAACTTTTTAGACACACACTATGCAGGGCGAGTCTTAAAATAAGTGTAAATATTATTAGGGATGGTTAGATGGTATATTTCTACCATAGTATAAGGAATTTTCCTTAAACTATGTTTCTACGCCAGAAACACATCTATGAGAGTTTTTTTTGCGCGAAAATAAAATTTCAAAATTTTGTATTTGTGGATATCTTGATAATATTTATGGTAGATTAAATTTAGGAAGGAAAAAACAATAAAAACAGGGATTTTCAAATTTTAAACAAAAAAAAATTTCCGACGTCACAAAAGTAATAATTTTTGCGACGTGATTGTCAATATTAAAAAGTCATTTTAACGCCTAGACATAAAAGTAAAGCACTTTTACGCCTAAGCATAAAAGTACGAATATATTATACAGGGTGGTTCCAAAATGTGTGCCATCTCTCGTGGGAGATTCCTCACGTAAAAATAAGATTTATTTTTCATATCAACATAAGGTCCGATTCTGTTTCATAGCTACAGGGTGTTAAAGTCTTAATAATCTTTTGATTTATTATAATTTTCTTCTAAATACTTTTAGTGATTCAAATGAAATTTTGAGGGTAACAGTTACTATAAGTGCTACATATTTTAATCAAGAATATATTAAAATTTTAACACCCTGTAGCTACTAAACAAAGCAGAATCGGACCTATGTTGATATTAATAATAAATCTTATTTTTACGTGAGAATGTCCCCACTAGAGATGGCACATGTTTTTTGAAACACCCTGTATTATTAAACTGACATAAATTATCAAATTCAACGAGCGTAACCATAATTTCTCGATATACATATAATTACATACAAGGTATGACTTAAGTACATATTTTTTATACAGGTTGCTACAAATTCGAGGTACGAGCAGTGGTATCTCGGAAACCGTAAGACAGTCTCGGAAACCGTAAGGCAGTTTATTTAATAATCATATAATAAACAGTATACAGGGTTGTTCACCACATACGACACGGAGTATTGTAGCTAAACGATTAGATTTTTACAAATTGTAAGTTTTGGGTTTGTTGAAGGACGATTACTCCTTTGATCTGATTGGACGTTTCAATGACGGTTGGTTGCGTATTTTAATGTATCCTGATTTTTACGAATGGTAAGTTTTCGGTTCGCTGAAGGACTATTAGAGCTACAATTTAAAAATATTTTTACAAGATACAGAGTGTCCCAAATAAATAAAAAATATCAAAGTTGTATTTTTTTAAATGGAACACCCTGTATATTATTGCATTTTTAGTTTCTACGATTAAAATAAAGGTAAATTTGATTAAGGTTTATTATACTTAAACCTTACCGTTTTTGAAATATTTTCAATTTTGCGAAATTGCAGTATAAATTTTAAGGCTTCATTTCTCCGAGGATATCAAAGTTTTTAATACTAAATATTTACTGAAGTTTATTTATCGATCAGTTATTGTGTTGCAATAATAAAATTATACTACCTTTTATACAGAGTGTCTAAAATTTTATTTTAAATAATTACTAGCTTTAAACGGCAATAACTTATTTACATTAAATAGAACACCCTGTATATTTTATGAGAATCAGATGCACAATTTAATTGTCTATCAAATTGTATTATACCACTTCTTACCTATTATTTCAAGTTTTCGTAGAAAATGCATTTTCTTATAATTTAGACCTCATTTATCAATATACCCATGGAATATTGAAATTTTAGATTGTTTTTAAAACAACAAATGTACAAAATGTACAGGCTAGTAATATTATCGTTTTTAGTAAAACGATAATATTACTAGCCCATTTGTATGCAAAAAGAAAACTATTTAAATCTTTATAAAAGAGTATACCATTAATTAAATATACCCCCAGTATTTCCGCCCAAATACTAATTAACTACATACTTAATTGTGTTCGTTAATAAATTATTCTAAATAAATGTGGATTTGAATCAGAAATCAATATAATAATAAGTTATGAAAATGAACGTCTCTGTTGTTATAAATAGGCATTTGTCGAAAAATTAAATATCATTTTTAAGGTGTTACTTTTTACCACACTGTCTAATACACATACATAATTCAGCATTTTAGTATTTGGAGCAATTATTATTAATCAACGCAAACAGTCAATTAATGTAGTTTGAATACTGGAATCATATTAATTGGTCCTTTTTAACAAATATTTAAACAGTTTTTTAATGAAATAAACGAACTATATCGACAATATTAGTATCTGTACTCTTTAAAAATTTGGTACATCTTTAAAAATAATCTAAAATGTCAGTATTCCATGGGTATATTGATAAATGAGTTCTAAATTACAAGAGAATGCATTTTCTACGGAAACTTGAAGAGATAGGTAAAAAATGGTATAATACAATTAAATTGTGCTTCTGATTCTCATAAAATATACAGGGTGTTCCATTTAAATTAAACAAATTATTGCCGTTTAAAGCTAGTAATTATTTAAAATTAATTTTTAGACACTCTGTATAAGGTAGTAAAGTTTTTATTATTGCAACACAAATAACTGATCAATAAATAAACTTCAGTAAATATTTAGTAATAAAAACTTTGATACCCTCGGAGAAATGAAGCCTTAAAATTTATACTGCAATTTCACAAAATTGAAAATATTTCAAAAACGGTAAGTAATAAGTAATAAACCTTAATCAAATTTACCTTTACTTTAAGCGTAGAAACTAAAAATGTAATAATATATAGGGTGTTCCATTTAAAAAAATACAACTTTGATATTTTTTATTTATTTGGGACACTCTGTATTTTGTAAAAATATTTTTAAATTGTAGCTCTAATAGTCCTTCAACGAATCCAAAACTTACAATTTGTAAAAATCTAGTCGTTTAGCTACAATACTTCGTGTCGTATGTGGTGAACAACCCTGTATAATACTGCATGATCGAAAAAAAATGGCGTCTAGTTGACTTGGAAATGATGACATCTCTCCTATAATTTTACATATAAAATGACAGCGATCTTTATTTCATAACCATGGCAGACACCGTCTTTTTATCATATTAAGCAGAGTTCAACAGTATTTATTTGGAGTTGCATAAAACACGTTGCATAAAACACGAACAGCGTAAAATAAGTCACTGGTGTCAAAAATGCAAACGCATTTAACCAAAACCTATCATCCTTCATTTTTATAAAAAATTTTGCAAAAACATAGATTACTGCGAATTTCTATCAAGTTCTTATGACATTCGTGCAAATCGTGATTTTTATGAACGTCATATACACCAAATATATATCTTAATTAATTATATCATGGGATAGTTAACCTTCAGACAATTTACTTGACTTAAAACAAAATATAAACATGCATTTATTTATTTTATATTATGAATAATTCCGCTTTTAACTTAAATAAATCAGGCAGTTCATTAAAATCAATATATGTTGACAATTAAAGACAGATATTGTATGTTAATTACTACAGAAGAACGATGTGTATTTTGTAATCTTGCTAATTTGTTCTTTATTGTATATTTGTCATAATAAAATGGCATAATTATGATATAAAATAACATTCGATCGATGCTATCAGCATCGTCTACGTTTGTATATTCTAGTAATTCTGTGGACAGTGTTATATCAGTATAGTAATAATTATATTCATAACATAACAACCGTATAAGGAATTTAAAATATTTCTAGTATAGGAATAAAAAATCCACGTATTTGAGGACATTAATTTTCACTTTTTTTTATTCAAGCAAAAAAGCAACAAATAACAAATAAATACTAATATAAACCTAAATGAAAATATAAATCATCATCATCATTTACAGCTTATTCAACCATTTCCAATTAAGGTGTAGCCTCCCTCACAGATCTAGATACTCTTTTTGTAGTTGGGTCCATTGTTGTCTATGGTTGGCTATGCTGGTCCAAGTTATCCCTGCTAATTTCCTAATATTATGGTCCCATCTCAGGTTCGGTCTTCTTCTAGGTCTCTTAATTCCTCGAGGGTACCATGCTGCAATTTTTGTGGTCCATCTGTTGTTCGTCCTTCTTACCAATTGTCCTACTCATTCCCAACTTGGATTTGACTCCGTGGATGGCGTCTATTACCTGGGTCTTTTGTCGTATCCACTCTATTCTTTTACGGTCTCTTGGTTATTCCCAGCATATTTCCTACCATTGAGCGTTGTGCGACCTGCAATTTCCTTATGATGTCCGTTTTAAATGTCCAGGTTTCACATGCCTCACTTCACTGCTTGAATATTTTCTTCTTTAGATAAAATGGCATTCTATATTTGAATTTGATTGAGTTTCTTCCATTTTGAGTACTCCATTGAGTACTCCATGCTAACTTAACGAAGAAAAATCAAATATAAATAACTACTAATATATTAGGCATGGAAGTGATGCTCAGACGCCTAAAAACAGAAGCAGACAAAGTAGGATTAAGCATAAACATTGACAAAACAAAATCAATGCGCATTAACACAAATATCAACACTCCATTCAATGTAGGAATCAAACATGTCGAGAATATAATAGAGTTTACTTACCTGGGAAGTATTGTAACAGCAAACGGTGGCTCAGATGCGGATATTGTCCAGCAGGATCGGGAAGGCGCAGCGAGCCTTTGGCCAACTAAAATCAGTTTGGACCTCCCTTCAACTCTCCATACAAACAATATT